GACACTGCTGCTCATAAAATTTTGAGCAGTACATCAAACATTGGTCTTAAGGTGCTAACTACGCATAGCAAATTTGAAATAGAAATGTTCAGGCATTTTGGAATTATTGCAGACAATGTTTAATTTTACAGAAACTTTGACGCCCTGTATCTCGTTAAGGAGGCATTTGCGACCCTATGTTTATTAAAACTTTTCGACTTAATTTTTTATGTATTATCTACCCTAGAAGTCTGTCAGCGGTTTTTTGAATCACCCTGTATATTTACTACTGTATGCAGGAAACAAAATTATGGTTGTATTAGTTAATTAATCTGAGAATGTAAACTACTAGTTATTACTGCGATCTAAGTGCATTGAAAAAATTGTTTTAGAAGTATCTAGATCTAGTTGTTTGAATATTTCAAAGTTTAAATTAACATATGGTACTGAATAATAAGCAGTATACATTTTGTAGTTTAGGCAAAGATGACATAGAAGGACATGACAAATTGCGCCCCTTTAGAATTTATATTCCTTGTTTCTCATTTTTTCCTTGTTTGCATATTTCGCAATTTTTTAAATATTCATAACGCATTTCTTTGGGTGGTAAAAACCAATTTCTATGGTACTTGAGGGTTGCTTTTGGTGTGCAAAAACTCTCTCTCAACGGTAAAGAAAGTATTTTTTAAATAAAACAAAAGTGCAGTAAAAAGAAATGTTGTCGGGACTAGCGTTCGTTGGAGAGTCCTCTGGTGGAGTCGCTCGCAGGTATAAGTATCATGGACTGGTCCCTGGCGCCAATCTACCGACCTTCGCTGGCCATTTTCCTGGAACCATAGTGTATGTGTCCTGCGTTGCAGATTTGCGTATGTTTGTTATCACTTGCAATTGTCAGACCAGTCCGGCGTAAGTCTGGCGCTCTAATCATGTTATTTAAATAAAGCTTACTTAATTAGGCTTGCTTATATTAGAATCTTGTCATGTCAAAATACTTAACTCGAGAGTCATGAGCTCAGAGTTAAAGCTGTTTTTCTTTAATCTTATTTATTACTCAAATTTAAAAATTCATAAATGCTTAACTTGAGTGTTTTGAGTTTAGAACTTGTGAGTATTTAGCAGACCTGATCGGGTCCAACGGACACGGATTCGGATTCAGCGACCCTAAAAATGTATGTATGTAGGTCTACTTTGTTGGCAATTGATTCTCAACATTTAACTTTGAACTGACCTTAACCCAAACCTGATCGGGTCAAACGGCCACCGGATTTGGATTCAGCGACTCCAAGAACATAATATAGATACTATAGTCTTGTGTTTCGGACCTCTAACTTTTTTGCGGGGCTATCAGGAAAGGTTAACTACCTAATGATCCAATGAGAATTATTAAACATTATGCAACACATTGCATTTTGTACACTTTTACTTAAAAATCAAACAAATTTGGAATAACCTTCTTTCCTGAGCCGTAGCCTGACGGTTAGGTTCATCCTACTTTTACTTTGTAAGTTGTTATAGAAATTGTTATTATAGAAATATTCAACATTCAGTCCATGGTAAATGAAAATAATAATAAAGTGAATATTGCGTAAAAATTAAAACATTGGAGTTACATTAAATTAGTTTATTCTAAAAACATGTATTCTAAATAAACTTATTTCTGGCCTTTAGAATATTTTTCCATCAGCTCTTTAACTGCTACCAAATGATCTTCATTGGCGTCCTTGTAACCTGGAGCAGTCACTTTGACTTTGTCGAGCCACTTTTGGATATTCTTGTAGGAGGATATGTCATGATTCACTAATTCAAGATATTTGAGTCACTATGGCTAGATCAGCTAAAGTAAGTTGGTCGCCTGCAACGAATTCGGACTTATTCAAAAATGTATCTGAAGATTCTAAGCCCTCATTAGCACTTTTAACAATTTCTGGATCTGGATGTCCCGCAGCTAAAGTCTTTGGGTTCTGTAAAATGTAAATTAAAACATTAATTTGCAATCACCAAAAATATGAAAAATCAACTACATATTTTTAAACTCATTGAAGTTCCTTTAGCAAAATAATTCTCTCATATTTTGCATGTGCAGGTTAAACCACAAAAAAACTGGTTTTGAAGTAACTATACTTACATAAACTTGATGGAAACGCGAAAATAGGTCCATGTCGAAATACAGTCTTTGATCCACAATTGCTCGTTTCTTCGGTTCCTTTGGATATAAGGAATCATTTCTACCATACTTATTTTGCAAATATGTGATGATGGCCCTACTTTCCCAAACTACGAAGTAGTTGTCAACTAGAGTTGGTATTGTAGGCTGCGGGTTAAACTGAAAATATATTGTATAGTGCAAAAGAGTTATTACCACAAAACCCTTAAGGTATCTATTTTCACTTCAATGATACCGATGTTCTTAAAATTATTATGAAAACTAGAGTACAAAAGATTTATTTATAAAGAAGATTTTTTTAACGTCAAATAATACTTCAATTTGTTCAAACCCCTCAATCTGCTCCTAATTATGATTGGTTTTATTCAAATTTAGGTATACAAGATGTCTTCAAAAAATTGGAAAGATAGATATATTAGAGGACAAAATATGTTGATTCAAATATGTCCAAATATAGATATTTCAAAAGATATTCCGTGTCAAAATTACAATTTAGGTAATTTTGCTGAAGAATTTTTATTAGGTTTCCAATCCATCCAATTACCGATAGAAAAATCATGAACTATCTTCTTTCCTCGACCAAAAAGTTGTACTTGTTAGTAGTAACTAAAATTAATAGCTTCCCAATTCTGCGCTTTTAAATGTTACAATATATTTTGTATGAATTGTACTCAGCTATTCAATTTTTATTTTAATTACTAAAACTTGAATGTAAAAAGAAACTATTTAAAAAAAGGACGATAACAAATAAAATAAATTAAGAAAACAATTAATTAAAAAATAACGACAAAAATTGTTCAAAATGTGTATCGTCTAGTCTAATATATTTCCAAACTATCAAACTATGGCTTGCTGTACTTTGTCAATTCTTTGTCAAAGTTCATCCTCAGTTTCCGTAAGAATATCGTAAACTCGTTGCCTCAATTCACCCCTGAAGAAGAAGTCTAATGGATTTAAATCTGATGATTTACACAGGTCCAATCGATGGATCGAAGATCTAACAGATTGAGTAGTTGTCTTTAAGAAATTAGACATACCTTTGGTCATTAATTTAATGTCGGTTGTAACTTAACAGGTTTCCTTAGGTATCGTTCAATTGCCCCGGTCCATAAACATGCAAATCAAAAAACGGTAAACTACAACAAGTGTTTAGAAACATTTCCATTTTCGCTAATACATATTTCAAAGCAACGCGGTACTTCCTGATCACAAGAAGAAAGTAAAGAGCGACGGATATTTGCCGCACAGCTAGCATAAATCTTATTTAATTAAGTCCGCCATATCTTCTATTGGCTCAGTATACACCATATCTTCTAATGTTCCCCACATAAAAAATCAGAAGAAATTGGCCCATTGTACCGATTCATCTTCCAGAGTAAGATCTGTTCAAGTACCTGTGCATTATGGACAGGAGCACCATCTTGTTGCCACTACATATCGTGTCTTGTTGCCAAAGGAATATCTTCTAATAAATTTAAAATGTTGATTTGCAAAAAATACCGTGCACCAGTTAATTGTCCCTCAAAGAAAAGAGGACAATGAGATATCCATCTAATATGCCACACAATACATTTATTCTAAATTTGATTGCCACATTCTTTTGTCCGTCTCGAATTATTGTCCGACCAATAATGACAGCTGTGTCTATTGACGAGGCCATTATCATGAAATCGACTTTTGTCAGTCCAACAATTTTTTTTAAGGATACTATTGTAGTCTTGGTACAAAACTGAGAAACGAGATAGAAAATCTAACCGTCTTTCGGGATTTTCGGGTGGTAAATAGTGAACAATACGTATGGATGGATGGATTGTTTCTGGACAGTATCCTATGACATAACGTAATTGATATGTTAGTTGCCTTTGAAATATTTCTAATTAAAGTTTGAGGACTATTTGCCACATGTTGTAAAACCTGCGCTGTTGTTAGATCATTTGTCACCATATTTAAACGTTTACGTTTACTAACAATAAAAGTTCAACTTGTTTTCTGATCTGTACATCTTCTGTTAGGGAATCGTGCAGAATATAATATCACTGCAGCTCTGGAATTTTCTCTGCATTGACCAGAAATAACAAGGATCTCGTATTTTTCTTGATTAGTATATTGAACCGTATTTTCACTTAAATTAGCCAAATTTCAAGCTCTCATAACATATAATTAGCTGTTTTGTCAACTTGTACTTCTGAGTGACAAAATTTTTGTTTCCTTGTCATCAAAGCCTACTGTGATGAAGTTTTGTTAAAAGACATTGAGGACTTATTTTAGGACAAGCGTACAAATAATTATGAATTATTATCAGTGGCGGCCCGTGGGTTTAACCACAGGGGGGCGCGTTTTGATGAGAGAACGTATATGAGAGGAGGTGCGGGGGGTGAGAGGGGCGGCAGGCCCCCCTCTTAGCGCCGCAGGCGAAAAATTTTGAGGAATTTCAAGGTCATTGTGTTTTTCAAGTACATAGGTACACCAAAATGAATGCTGTCAGTGTGTAGATACAGTACTTAGATACAATACAAGAAGTAAAATTCCAACGTGTGGGGCTGAAGTGGATGATCGATCCACCAACCCAGCTGGGATATATGTAGATTTAGAGATGAAAAATGTTTATAAAAAGATTCTTGGGAATTTTTACAGAGGAGGCACTGCCTCAATTATTTATTATTTACTATTTTAATAACATCAATTTATATTGTTTAATGCATTCACCTATTTTTTAAAATTAAAATCCATTCTCCTGCTTTTGTCCGCACTGAACTTCTGTGTCACCTTTTCGTTAAAGTCTGGAATATTTTTAACCATACAGTTCTCAATGGACAACATTCCTAACGCACTTAGACGATCTTCACACATAGTATTTCTCAAAAAAGTTTTAATCAGATTTAGTTTTGAAAAACACCGTTCTGGTTCTGCTGTTGTCATTGGTATCGTCACTAATATTTGTAAAGCTTGAGTAATTTCCTTAAAAACTGGCCTACTTTTGCACTCTTTCTGTACCTGAACTAAATTCAACACTGGCGTTGGACGTCCGTTATTTTTCAATTCGACTTTTTCCTCTAAACTTAAATTACTAATAACAAGTTTTTTTATTTCACAAACCCTCATTTTAAACTTAAACTTATAAAATATAATGTCTTAAAAAGCGCCAAAGCAAAAACAAAACACGTATAACTACACTGCAGTGATACGGGATAC